AAGCACACAAGGTAGGTGTGAAGAAACAACCGTTCATGCAGTTAACCCAGTTCAAGTTTTGTGCAAGAATGCATGATCGCACCGGCTCGCCTGGTGCGTTCCAGCCTAGGTTATCATTAAAATATTCTCATGCTGAATTAGCTGGAGGCAAAAGTTCGGATATTTGTCGGAATTCAGTCTGGAGCACTGAGCTCGAACTTTGGTGTCACTCCTATCCCATAAATCCACAGGTACCATCTAGAGTTGCAAGAAAGCATCAAACAACGCAATCTGTTTCAGTGGTGCTGGGCTCTGAAAATCGGCTATTAGAAGTGTGCTACAATAAATCCATCAGAGCCAATTGTCCTGTTCTTTGATTCCTGAATCTCCGCTAAGTACTGCAATGTTTCGGCCGTCGCACATTCTCTTGAACCTATTTTTATCGTGGAAATACTTGTTGCATTCTGTGAGATGTCATTGTAAGTTGTACAAATTCACAGAAATTTCAGGGATGAATATGAAGATAGTACTCCTTACGGTTTGTCTCCTTGTTATATTTTATGTGTATTGCTGTGTCCCCGATCATTCCAATTAATGCTGTTGCGTTGTTTTCTTGCACTACGAAATACTGCATGCATTCAGAGTTGTTATCGTGTAGCTTCTGACCAACAAACATTGTTTCATGGATCAGTTCCGGAGCTGAGCGGAATAAGCAATACGAATAGCTCACAAGTCTTTATCGCTAAGGCTAATATGGAGATCAAGCAGGACGTTTAAAATGTGCCAGGATCATTACTAAATGACGGCCAAAATAACAGGAAAAGGCATAAGAAGGTGTTTTCGTGCACTATGTAAATGGGCCGCATTTTTTTAGGCCTTTATGTATCGTCCGAAAGATGCGCCACTATCGTAATTACTTGGAATGATAACGTAATTGTGTATTATACGTATCAGTTTACTTTAAATGGTCACTGTCTAAAGGTTAAACAACGGAACTGGACATTTTGTTCCAGGAAAAGTGTCTCCTACCTATAATGTCATGCATCCATGTCATTAGATGAAACAAATGCAGTTTGTATCCGCATTTTAAAGGTTAAATTAAGGAAGCATTGCTTGCTGCCAAATTATTGCGAAGATCCAGTGAAAATCAAAGAAGCCACAAAATGACAGAGGGATTCTCACAGAAACACGAAGGGTTCAAAGGGTCCTCATGTTCTCGTATAAAATGCTAGCTCATGAATGGCAGACAGTGAGTGTCCGTGTCACAATATAAATTTCTCATTTTTTTTCTCTCTCTCTCTGTCCCTTCTTATGTCCATCTTGCAAATTAGCTACATGGCTGTTCATTACATGGTGGGTTGGAGGCTGTACCGGCGATCCCCACTCTTATCCATACACAAAGTTCGGTCTGTGTTTATAGCTGAGGGATGAAAGACAGACCCATCCTAACATGTCTTCTTACATATTACACTTAGTCCAATCCCCCCTAACTCTACTGTTCCAGTGAATGGAATCATAGAAAATATCACTCATCCGCGCATGGCAGCATAGCATACCCGCTGACTTGGAGATAGTGAAAACGAGGAGTTCGATTCCCTCTTATCCTACACTCGCCAACATCACTGTGTTCGTGGCGTTGAATGGAAATACGTAAGACTT